TTGAATTGCAGATCGTGATCATTTGAGTTTGAGAATCAGCAAAAGAGTTTGCAAAATTCATCAAATGTATTATTCTCAACACAGTTTCTATCTAAACACAAAGCAGATCCGTGGTGGGAATTGAAAAATAATTAATTTTCCGCTGTGCATGTTAAATAAATTTCCAACAGAACTTACACTTCAATCTGTCCTTTCCAGAACCACCATGAGCAATAAGGCCTTCTCCATCTCTGACCTCTGAAACCAGATGCTTCATCTTCTCTTTTGAGAACAAAGCAACATATACCTCCTGAATGATGAAAGTATCACTACTATACAATATCGTGTCTTTAAATGAAGAAAATGAATTATACAAGATCGTGTCTTTAAATGAAGAAAATGAAGCGGGCAACGAACACAATATGATCAAGGCCAAATCTTCTTCATCATACTTTACTTCCAAAGTTTTCAAATCAGCGAAGATCTCTTTAAATACAGCCAGGTGATCTTCTAATGATCCTCCTTCTGCTATTCGATGAGAGTATAAACGCTGCTTGAGATGCAACTTGCATGCCAGATTTTTAGTCATGCACAATTGCTTCAACTTCAACCTTAAAGCAACTGCTGAACGCTCCTTCAAAACGTGTTGAAGAATGATATTCGAGAGATGAAGATGAATGTGAGAAACTGTTTTCTTATCCTTACGTAATTTCTCCTCCGCGGTCAAAGTTGTGGGCATCTTGTCAATTTCCAACAGCATCATCCAAATCCTGTTGTGCGAGTATTTTACGCATTTTAACCTACTATAGCGAAAGTCTAGTGTTTCGATCCAAAAGCAGAATGTCATACTACATGGAAGCTATCACGAACAAAAATCTCGAACAAATCAAACCCTGCGCTCTTGCGGAACTGTTGAACTTGGTTCTGGTACCACTTGTTCTGAAACAAACAAGATATCAGAATCTTTGTGATACCACTTGTTGTATTAATTATACCCAGAATCTCTAGTATCAATTGTTGTGAATTCAAGTATCACGTATCGCTCGATACCACTTAATATGAAACCAACCATCGGATTGAGATGTTGAAGTTATATGACACAATAATGAAGTATATGATCGCAATCAAAAGAATAAAAGAAGACAAAAA